GCGTGGGCGGTGTCTGCCCCCCCCCTCTGCTTTCTGGAGGAAATCGCAAGAAGCGCGCTCCCTCGCTCCCCTGATCTAGCCCCTGGGAGGGAAGGATCGAGGGAATTCCGCGCCTCCCACCGGCCAAGACCCCCTCGAGCCGGGGACCGGCGGGCCAGCGCAGGCGAGGGGAGAGAAGCCATTAGCAGCCCCAAAATGGTGCATTGGCAACACGACCGGGCCGGGAGCTGGGGCGAGGCCTCTTTTGTGGGGCTCGACGAGGAACAAGAAGAGGCTGAGGATGCTCCCTCAGGTTTTCGCCCTCCAGCGCGGAGGCGGCAAAAGACGACCGAAAAACGGGCGTCCCGTCCGACAGAAGTCCCTGTTGCTCTTGGGCGAGGAGAGGCGCTTGCAGGCGGGCCCATGGCTTTTTTCCAGCGCCCCGAGGTGGGGTTCGAGGGGCGCCCTCCCCACGTGGAAGCTGCATCCCTGCACGGTGACCCCTCCCGCTAGTACCTCTCGTCCTTCCCCACCCCTCCTGAGAGACATCGTCTGGGATGCAGCGGGGGCGGGTCCCCGCCGTGCCTTCCACCTGCTCTGCTCCCCGCGGAGTGCTTCTTCTCCCCCCCCCGGGGGTGCCCTACCGCCAAAAGCACTAGGCTCGGCCCTCGGTGCTAATGTGCCTTCCCATCCCCCCCCCCCGTGGTGGCGGCGGCGGCGGCGGGCTCCCGTGCTTTCTCTCTCCTTGCCTGCCTGCCTGCCTGCCTTTTGGGGTGAAAGTTATCTGATAGAGAGACACGCTACACAAAGGAAGGTGGGGCTGGACGAGGAGGGGGGCGGGGGTCTGAAGACTGGAGGGGAGGGGCTGGTGGGCTGCGAGGAGGATGGGAAGGAGGGATTTGAGGGGTAAAAGAAGGGGGGCGTCTGTGAAAGGAGTGAAAAGGGGGGAGGCAGCCACCGGCAGCCATCCCAGCTCAAGGAGGGCAGGGCCCGAGAAGTGTCGCATCCTTTCATTCTAGCGGCTGAGGCCTGGCTATGCAAAAGAGGGCTGCCGGTGTGTCTTTGGTGGAGGGACTGGCCTTCCGCTTTGGAGGCTAGATGGGGCACAGACCCATCCCCTTTCACAACGTCCCAGAGCCAGAGGTTTGCACGCACAAAGAAATGGTGGTGGCGGTGGAAAAAACGCCTTCAGATGTTTCAGCTTGTCCCTTTTCTTTTCATCTTTTGGCCTGATGCTTTGTAGAGATACCATACCTTGATTTTGAAGGCTGCCTGAGAGAGAGAGAATGAAAAGGGAGCCATCGTTTACAAAGCCTCCGAAACAATAGGCATGTGCTCCATTTTTTGCAGCCACCCAATGAAGGGAGGGAGGGAGGGAGAGGGCAGGGGTTAATATCATGGCCTGCGTGTTCAGATTTCCAGCTAATGGATGTTTCACACATCAAAGCAGAAGGTTCTGGGACTCCTCCTGTTGCCTTGCTAACTCAGATGATGTACTCACACTCAAGGCAGGCAATGATGTTCACCCATATTTTCAGCTCCAGCCCAAGTGAGGGAGGGTTCTTCCTTGGTACTTCAGAGTGTGTACCTATTTTGTGAAGCAGTATTCGGCAGAGAGGTTCAATTGACAGCAAAGTTAGCAGCATCTCACTTGTCAGAAATCACTTGCCTGCCCCCCCTTCCCCTAGAGCTTCTGATGAGATGAATTCACCCTTCTGTTATAGAGCAGTCAGTCAGGTACCTATTATACAACACCGCAAGGGAAAAGTAGATCTTTACTCCCTTCCCTGGATGTCTCTGAATAGCCATTCGGGTCTTTCAGCACTTGTAAAACTGGTCTCAGAGACAACTCTTACTTGGTTATTCAGATGAGCCATAGAAAGCACTTTGTTAAAGACATGTGCCACATGTATGATGGGCAATCTTTAGAGCCCATATAGAGTTTGTAGTGTGGGCACTCTCTGGAGTTGACTTGCTTTTTGACATCCCACGCGACTGGTGCTTTATATATCTTAAAGACAAAATCCATACTACGCTTGGATATTTTCTTTTTAAAGAGAATACTGACTCAGAATTGAAACTTGTAGACGATTGTTATTGAGGGTTTCATTTACCCTGAATTACTGTTCTTCGGTGCCTCTCCATCTTCACTGACACATACAGGGCTTACTCTCCCTGCAAACACTTTCCTCAGTCTCCTGAGTCCCCTTCATTCTAGCTGCACCACACCCTGCCCTTCATGTTACCCCTCTCTGTCTGCCAAGAATGCTGCTCTTTATGTCACTGTTGTGGTTTTTCTCTTTCTGCCCAGGTTGTTGAGAGCACTTTTTCTTTCGTAAAGCAAAATCCCTACAAAAGGGCTATGCAACCTGTAATAGTCTGATATCCCCCTCCTTGAGCCAGGGTGGTGCAGGCACATGACATCACTCCCAATGCAAGGGCTTTTTTCTTCCAAGGGACCTCTCAACAAGGTCTTCTTTAGAAGTAGATGACAGCCCAGCTGTTTTCTTTATATGTGGAGGTGGGCACCCCCTTCCTTCCTGCTACCACAGTGTCCTCTTGGAACCGCTGGCACTAGTAGCCCTTCGATCACTCAAAGGCAGGGCACCAGAGAGTTCTCATCAGCCCAGGGGGAGGCGATGTGGCACCTTCCAAACATTCTGAACTATAACTTCCATAAACCAGACTTTCCTCCATTGCTTGTGTCAGTTGCAGTCCAACAGCACACCAGCTTGTGCCTGCCCTTGCATTAGCTCCACATTGGTTTGTGGAAAGCCATATAGGTGCCTATTGCTTCCCTTTGGGTATTGAAAACTTCATCAGTGCTCCCCAACCCAATCTTGGCACTGATATTTCTCTTACTTTTCTAGTATAATGAATGGAGTAAATTCTCTGCTGCTCTTGCCTACTTCCGCTCCCTGCTCCATGGCCTAAAAGCGTGCTGCTTCAGCTTAGAGATTTATAGCATGGGAGGTCCCTCTCCTTCTTTGTAGTTCCCTCCCCTCCCCTTCTCCCTGAAGCAGAAGGTCTCCAGCTGCTCCTCTTTGCCTACTTCCTTCCCTTTAAGGACGATCTGTTAGGCCTCAGAGGCATCCTATGCATTGTGCTCATGCTTGTGGTAGGAAGTGTGGAGGGGGGACATGCATGGGAGATGGTGCACCCCAGATGGTGGGGGTTGGAGAGTTGCCCTCTGCTGAGAAAGGCACGTTCCTGAAATGAAATGAAAGGTTACCCACTAAGATAAAGGCAAGCTAAGGCAACACCAAGAGTGAAGATGGAAATGTAATCTTTCCTTTGTCATCTCTCCACTCCGACACTTTTATACTAGGAGCTCCTTGAAGTGGAGACCTATCCTTCCCTCCCCCATCCACTAAAGGTAAAAAGCTACACATCAGCAGTATTGTGTGGGTGGTATTACCTATCAGAAAATATGGAGAAGGAACTTCCCAGCAACAGCTGAATCTCTGGGACAACAAATTCTTATAATGGATTGTACCACATCTGGGCCACGGACTACTAGAACAGTGCTATCAAGGGCCTCAACGAGCTGAGGAAGCAATGGAGCAAAAGAAGTGGCATGGAAAGGTCAATGTGGGGGGGGGAAATCCCTTGAATAAGAAATGAGGTCATTCCTGGAGTCATCTGCTGCTGGAGGTGGACTAAGCGCTCTGGGTGTGCTAATGGATTTCTTTCCAAGGGCATGTTTTGCAGAGAAGATAGCATGAAGGGAATCCAGCCTGAGTAGAACCCAATGTTCCTTTAGTGAACTGTTTTAAGGGCATCGGCTGCCCTCAACTCACCTGATTTTTATCCTTCCGGAAATATTTGTCTGGCACTCACCAGGATGAGGTCCAGCCTGCTTGCTACTATAAGACTTAAAAGAGGAAATATTTCCAGCAGTGGCTTGTGATAGGTCTATTGGCCTTTTATATCATGACATATTTCATTCCAGTTGTTCAACGACTTGTTTTGTATGTGTGTGTGTGTGTGTTTGGTTTGTTTTTTAAGCCTGGATCTTCCAGAAGAGCAGACAAGGCAGTGGCATAGTCTGGTTTATCTTGAATCATAAGCATCATTTTAAAATGCCACTGCATGATTTGTATCCAAAGCCCTCTGTGGCAGTACTCTGATGTTAGTGTTGGGCTCAACCCTGTCTTAGTTCTAAAGAGGAAGAAGCTAAATGACTCCCTGCAATTTCTTCAGAGATGTAGGGTATATATTACTGGGATGCTGGCCAGAGGCTACAGAAAGAGCCCAGCATTGCCTGTGCAGTCTCTTGGGTCCAATTAGCTTTATGTATTCTGGGGCTCTCGTAAAGCTATTAAAAACCTCACTCTTACATAGGACTGTGGAATCCACACACCCCCTTCCTCTACTTTCCTTTCAGGATCTTCCGCTATTGTTCAAGCCATTGCATTTATCTCCCATGCTAGACTCTTCTGTCCCATACTTGATCTGAACCCAGGGTTGCATACATGGTTCCCCTTCCCATGTCATCCTCACAGAATCCCATGAGGTAGTTCAAGCTGATACGGTGAGTGGCATACTGACTTTAACATATGGACAAGGATTTGAACCATCCTAATCTACCTCGGTCCTTCCCTACCTATTGCACTCCAGCTGTTTTGGCTTGGATCCTGAATGGCCCCAGCCAGCATGCGCAACATTCAGGAATAGTGACAGATAAATATAGTGAAAAACATCTGGAGGGCACCAGCTTGGGAGGCTGATCTAACTACTTGACTAAATTGTCTTTCTTGCTTTATCTCCACCTGAAGTATCCCAATCTCCCCTCTTTGATGGGTACTTCTTTATTTTTGGCAGCTCATCTGGCCAAGTTCCCTATCCTGCCATTGAGATCTCTCTTTTGTCTCCTCCCCACATCCCCACCCCCTGTAGAGCAGAATCAGTTTTATCAAGCTTGCTCACAAAGAAAG